GTGCGTCCTGAGCCATGCGCACTAGATTGCGCTTTGAGGGGTGTCCAGCTGCACGGTGAAGACGATGTAGTTGAGCCTTCCATTTCTCCAACTCACCAGCAGGTGGTTCGTCTCCTCCAGGGTCTTCAGGTTCTTCCCCCAGGATGCTGGGTTCAGGCTCAATCGATTTGTCGTCCTTGGGAGGTCCGTCAACTTCTTCAGAAGGACCAACTTCTGCAGCATGTAGAGAATGAACAGCAGGATCGACAACCAACTCGGTGGACCAAAGTAGTCGCCACCAACGATCAGGTAGAAGATGTTTTCGCCAATGCCGGGCAATGGAGGCACACATCCTTGGTGGGTAGTATGCGCTCTTGCTTGTCTCCACACCATGAAGCCATTCGTGAGTGTGGTTGCCCAGGCATACTCGTAGTCGAAATTCAGCATGGAAGGACACTGACGTAGTGCGAATCCTCCAGGCTTTCTGAATGAAGTTTCCTTTGGCGCTCTTGAGGCCAAATCTGCATCCATCCAATCGGCAGTCATAGAAGTGGTCCAGGCTGTTGAAGAAGTCCTCAATGATGCGCTCCTTCCATCCTCGGCATCGGTGAGGCCATTCCCAGAAGAGCTCCACATCGGGGTCGTCCTTTACAATGGCTTTCAAGAAGCGCACCAGCTTCTTGAACATCTGACGTTCGCCTCGTCGACGTTTCTCCACGACATCTCGTCGACCATAGTAACCATAGTAGTTGAGGTCGACCCAGCCGCACCACAGAGTGCACATGGTGCTAACCCAAATCTTCTTGGGTCGTTGATGTTTGTAGAGGGTCCAGAGGCGATCATAGGTCTCGTCCTTGTAGAGGTCGAAGCCACAGTGAAGATTTACTCGTTGCACTGGTATGCCTTCTCGAAGACATGCATGGCATTGCTCAGTTCGGAGTCCTTCTGGCAGAACATCTCCCAGACCAAGGGCTTGCCGTCATAGATGGTGTCGGCCATGTGGTTCTGCAAGTCGGAGTTGAGGTCGTGGATCATATCCATCTTTTGTCCAACAAGAAGCGGCAGCTTCTTGCGGTTCTCCTCGTCCTGAATCTCATTCATGCCAAGCTCGGCTCGTCGTATGCAGGCTCCAGTTCCACATCGTCCGGAACAGGTACCCTTGAGGCAGTTGCCTGTGAGGCCATACGTTCGGCCACCAGTTCCATCACCCGCTTCTGCTCGCTCTCTGTGAGGTAGTCCATGGGGTTGATCTCGGCTGGAGCAGCAGGTTCTTGATGAAGTTCCGTCCAGCTGCTGGGTGACTGATTTGAGGACTGGGGCTCCTCCACGACATAGCCTTCTGAACTCGGCATTGTCGAAGTCAGTGTTGACTTCGCCTTCGCCTTGGCGATCTTCTCCTGGTTCTTCTTGAGGTCGGCCTTGTAGTTGTCCAGGAGAACGCGAAGACGTTCTTCGGCAATCACCTTCTCGAGAATCACCTTGACCAGCTCTTCGTTGGGCTTTTGCCCTTTTGGCATCATCTCATTCAAGGCCTTGTTCATGTTGCCCGGGTTGATCGTCGAAGTGCTGTTGCAAGGTGCTCCCTTGAAGGGAATGTAGAGCATCCGAAGTCCGCACACTGTGCAGTTGTGCCACTTCCCGTACTTGTTTGCTGGATCCTTGCCGGCCACGTGCTGGTTGAAGCAAGGCCACGTCGTTGTTTGAGTTCGAGGATCTCGGCCGTCGGGAAGCATCTGGCGCTCCATGTCCATCTCGTCCACCTTCTTGGGCGCCATTGGTCGAATTGGAAAGCCACGGGGTGATCAGATTTCCCATGAGCTGTCGTTGCTGCTGTTGTGAAAAACCATTGAGATTACGTCGACGCTTCCAAAGTTGATGAAAAAGGTGATGGTCAGATTCTGCTATTGCTGTTGATGAAATGACCATGCAATCCAGTTCAGATTCCATTGTAAAAACTTCTCCAACACATGAAGCGACCGACTCCCCAGCTGGCTGGATCATGTAGTTGTCAAACCAATGAACCCTTTTTGTGGTGGTGTTTTCTTGGGGGTCTTCGGACTCAATGACATGGATTGTGGGATGCCCTTCTTGAAAAGTTTTGCCGCAACAAAGAAAGTCCACAATGTCAACCATGTAGTGCTGTTTGGTGTTTTGGGGCATGCAAAAAGGTTGACTATCAGGAAAAGCTGCACAAACTGCAAAACTGCCCTTGAAATCCATGACCAACCCATTGCCCCGAATAAAGTCCATTCCAACCAAAACAGGCACCAACATAGAAGGGTTGAACCAATCTTCTCGGGATTCTGGTGGATCAGGAAGAGTATAGGCTTCAAAGGACCTTTGAGTTATACTGGATGTGATAGTCACGTGATGTAGTGCTCGGCCCCAACTTCCCGAACCAAACCTGAATCTGGGTCTCCTTTTTCCATCGATGCGGATCGACGCCGATTTGCCCACATCCAACACAGCAGTCACTAGACGCTGGATGGAAGACTGAGGGCCAGCAGAGCAGGTTGCTCCGCAATCAAGCATGCCCAAATGTCCAAGGTTTTCCTGTTCTACCTTGGCTGCATCTAAGCTTTGCTCGTTGGGCTCCCTGTCGATCTGGAGTCCATGAAAGTCCATAGCCTCTTGGTAGTAGGAGTTGACATGGTTGCGATTCTTGCTCTGGAACTTGCCCTTGAAGTTGCTCTTGCCCTTGCCCTTGCCAACGTAGTAGTTGTATAGAACTCCTCAAACATGTAGGCCATCTTGCCACCAGGCTTACCCTTGGATTTCCCCTTGAAGAAGGCGAAGTTGTCGTAGGGCTCGTCCATGGTGTAGTGCAGGTGCTTGCCATAGCCCTTGCCCTTGTTTGATGGAGCATTTCGATCAGGGCAATCTCGCACTCGATGATTTCCACCGCAGTTGAAACATCCCATAGAGGAAGGATTTGATGAAGACTGACCAAACCCACGATCTTTTCGGATCTGTTGGCTCGTCCTTTGAGCCTGAGACCAAGACCAGTCTGCTGCCATGGCTTCTTGAGAACCTTCAGAAGGAGGTTGATTAGTGGCTCCGGCACATTCTTCTTCTCCAGGATCATCATCAGCCGCATGCCAGTCACCGTTCTCCCATGCCATGTTGGCCCAGGGATCAGACCAATCCCAAGAGTCATCTTGCCAGCTCCAATCACTGTCTTCCTCCACCGTGTGCAGATTATGATGTCCTTGTCCAGAATGATGCGCTCGAGGATGCTGCATCTGCTCGTCGAAGAGGATGTTCAATGCAGAGCTCACTGCATCGTAGTTCAGCTGATTGTTGGTACTGGCCAGGATGGATCTCCATTCCTCGCCACTGAGAGCTGCACCACTCAGCAATCGCCATCCACGCAGAGTCTTGAGGATGAAGGAGTCGGTCGAAGACAACGTAGGTGAAGTAGATCTCGAAGGTCGTCCAGCTTGAGGTCGGCCACCATCAGCTCCGTCACCAGGATCATCAGGATCGTCCTGAGGAACTTGAGAGTAACCTGATTTGCCAGACTTCTTGCTCTTAGTCCATGAGATACTTCTCCATCATCATCATCTTCATCATCCGCACCTCCAAGTAGGTCATCAAGTAGAAAAGCACCAGCTCCTCCATCATGTAGATCTTGTAGAGCTTCGATGAACTCCTCGTAGAAGAGCGTCTCGTGCACCAAGTAGTAACTGATGGATTCACCAGGGTTCCTGCGGTAGTTGAAGTACTGCTGCATCACTGCTGCCGTGTTTGGATGTGTTTGGCAGTTTCTTTCTCACCAAAGGACTTTGTTCCAGTTTGCGAAGCATCACTTGTACTCCTTGAGGTCCAGCGATGTCTGCACGGCCCATGACATTGCCAGCAGGCGTGCTGGTCCAGTCAACTTGGACACCAGTCGGGGCCCAATCAAAGACCTTTGAGACTTCTTGGTTCCAAGCACATACCAAGAAACCTCTCGTTGGTATCGTCGCCAACCCCTTGGGTTGCCGTCCCATGAACATGAAGGAACGATTTCAGCCGCTTGAGGCTTACTGTCCGCCATTGTTGCCACAGGCTTGCAAAGTCCCGAATGTAGAAGAGCTCCCTCAGAAGGATGCCCAGGAAAAAGTCAAAAATGAAGAAATGCCGCCAACTCCTAGGAGATCAGCGTAGGTTCAAGGCTGACGCCACCAGCTTCTCACGAGGCAGCCTCCGCAGAGTTGGATCGTCCAGGATCTCGACGCTCAGCTGTCGAAGTAGAAGATGAACCTGCAGATGCTAAATCACCACGGCCCTTTGGCTCTGGTTCTGGTTCAGGTTCCGACCTCTCAGGAGATATCCGTCTCCTCCTTAGTCGAAGGATGTCAGGGTGAGGTGGTACAGGTCGGAAAGCGTTGAAAGGCTCAGGCAGCCTATCTCCAGAACGCGGTGATCTTGACCTCGATCTTGTAGTCCGTCCGCTCAGAGACGTCGTCCTCGGCAATGAAGTAGGCCAATGCCGTAGAGCTCGAAGAGAGGTCTCAGAGCGCTGGAGCGACCAGGCGCTCCGCTACCAATGCGGTAGCAGGAGCGCGCAGTGATCCCAAAAGGATGTAGTAGACCTTGTTCACAATCGTATGGCTTCGGGGGATCTAAACAAAAGTGCCTAACTAATAGGCAAACCACGGAAACGGAAGTGCCAAACCTAATGGCAGTCGCACCTATTTCACTTCGAGCCGCTGGCTCAAGGCCTGCGGAGGCACAGTTTGATATGGCCCCTGCTGGAGAAACACTCATGTACATGTCATGACTCAATCAGACTGGTTCCATCGCAGGACCCCAATGAGTTGATCTTCCACATTTTGATTCTTTTGTGGGAAGGCCGGTGGAAGAGAAGGGGATGTATACAAGTGCGACTGGGTGGCGGTGCCCGGAAGGAAAGTCTGGAAGGTGTAGACCTGTGTCTCTATCCTTTCTGGATTGGTGATTTCAGCCATGCTTATTGGATGTACAGAAACGACTGGCAAGATGTCAAAACCGGAGTGACGAGCCAGCCATCAACCTAGGTTTTCAGCTGTTGGACAATAATTTTCGAAACATGATGGCAAGAGATGAACGAGAAAAAGGCCGAGAGTATGTGCCTTGGCTTGAGGTTTGTTCGCTGATGTCCAAACTTCAGTCTGACAATAAGTGACGGGTCTATCCCGGTGCATTGTCATGCCCGATGTTTTTCGACTTGATCAACGCAAACGCTTGTGTTTTCCCTTGGTATCTTGCAAGGTCGAATTCAAAGGACAAAGATGTTTGTGATGAAGTGAAACCATCAGCCAGTTGACAAGTTTGGGGCAGATAGGTCACCATTTGGGATTGGCTCAAATGACTGACCATCTTTAATTTGATGGGAATTTCTACAAGTGACATAAATGACCAAATCTTATAACCATCTAGCAGGAATCAAGCGACTTCTAAGGTAGAAGCTCAATATCCTCCCAGGGCCGCCTTTGCCATTCCGCTGATTATTGAGCCTGCGAACGCTTACGATGTGTCCGTGCGGGCTACTCCCGAGATGGTCGAATATGGCAAAGACCCTCAGAATTTTGATTTTGCTGGGTAGAAACCGCAGGGGAACATGGGGATGGGTCGAAGTTCTGGGGGTTGGGGACTTCAGTCTGCAGGTTTTCGCCATTTAAAAGTTTCAACTATCCCCATGGGGTGCCAAGTTTTGACCCCCAGCCACCCATATAGCTAAAGCGAATAGCATCATCACTGATCACTGCAATATTTTGTGCATGTTGTTGGTGTCGGATCAATGAACTATTGAAACCGAACCAGTCTGACCCATTTGACTCCAGTAATCACAGCGGATGCAGGAACCTGGGAGGAACCTGGCCGATAAGTTGCTGAATGAACCTGGCAAGCCTCCTCGCACTTGTATCGTGCTCAGAGTGGGCCAAGAGAGTGCCTTGGTTGCTGGTTCTCTGGGGTGAGCTGGGGCCGACGTGGTGACTGTGGTCAAGGATCCCTGAAGCCTGTCACAGACATTCACAGACTAGTGCGGCAAGAGAGGAGGTTAACACTGTTCCACTTTGCCCAGGCCATGTGAGTGCAGAAAGACATGTATAAATTGTATAAATAGAATAGTTCCCCCACACACACATACACACATACATACGTACGTACGTACATACATACATCCATACATGCACTGCATTGAATTGCATTGGATTGCATTACATTACATTACATATTACATACAGATCTATGCACATGCCAAATCAATAACTCCAGCAATAGGGAAACATACAAGCAAGGGACACTGGTTTTCAGAAACTGTAAAAAATATGAGGTCAGCGATGGGGAATTCCCTATTTTGTTGATGTCCTTTGCGTTACCTTGCGACATTGATCCATATTTACATTTTATTTAGGTAGTAAGGTATTCAAACACATATTTATCTATCGAATCTATGAATCGATGAATCTATCTATATATATATAAATAATCTAAAATGTTTATATTATATAAATCCATTTATCTATCCATGAAATCTATTTATGTGTTTGTGTATCCATCTATGAAATCTATCCGTCTGTCTGTTTGCCTGTCTGTCTATCTATCTTTCTATCTTATCTTTCTATCTATCTATCAAACCAACCAACCAACCAACCAACTAACTAACTAGCTAACTAGCTAACTAGCTAACCAACTAGCGAACTAGCTAACTAGCTAACTAGCTAACTAGCTAACTCACTAACTCACTAACTAACTAAGTAACTAACCAACTAACCAACTCACTAACTAACTAAGTAACTAACTAACTAACTAACTAAGTAACTAACTAAGTAAGTAACTAACTAACTAACTAACAAGCTAAGTAACTAACTAACTAACAAGCTAACTAACTAACTAAACTAAACTAAACTAGACTAAACTAAGCTAAACTAAACGAAACTAAACTAAACTAACTAACTAAACCAAACTAAACTAAACTAAGCTAAGCTAAGCTAAACTAAACTAAACTGAACGAACTAACTGAACTAACTAACTAACTATCTAACTAACTAACCAACTAACTAAACTAAACTAAACTAAACTAAACTAAACTAAACTAAACTAAACTAACTAAACTAACTAAACTAAACTTAACTAAACTTAGCTAAACTAAACTAAACTAAACTAAACTAACTAAACTAACTAAACTAAACTAAACTTAACTAAACTTAGCTAAACTAAACTAAACTAACTAACTAAACTAACTAACTAAACTAAACTAAATTGAACTAAACTAACTAACTAACTAACTAACTAACTAACTAACTAACTAACTAACTAACTAACTAATCTATCTTTCTTTCTTTCCTTCCTTTCTTCCTTTCGTCCTTTCTTCCTTTCTTCCGTTCTTCCTTTCTTCCTTTCTTCCTTCCTTTCTTGCTTTCTTCCTTTCTTCCTTTCTTCCTTTCTTCCTTCCTTCCTTGCTCTCTTTCTTCCTTTCTTCCTTTCGTCCTTCCTTCCCCTCTTGCTTGCTTTCTTTCGTTCTTTCGTTCTTTCGTTTCTTTCTTTCTTTCTTCTTTCTGTCTTTCTTTCTTTCTTTCCGTCTTTCTTTCTTTCCGTCTTTCTTTCTTTCTTTCCTAATCTATCTATCTTTCTGTCTTTCTTTCTTTCCTTATCTATCTATCTATCTATCGATCGATCGATCGATCGATCGATCTATCGATCTATCTATCTATCTATCTAGATTAATCCTGATGGTGTTGGTTTCTCCGTGGTACCCCGGGTAAGCGCTTACATTCACATGTTCCTGGTTTGAGCCCATTTTGGTAAGATTTATTTGTGGTCCAATCCGAACGGTTGTTTAAATTTGGTGACCTATTTGGTTTCAATTCATGTTCGATGAAAGTTGGAATCTTCCCGAGAAGGTGTCCCAAAATAGGATACAGATGGATACAGCAAATAGGACTCCAAAAATCACCCAGAGCAAGCGAAATCCATGGTTTCGGTCTCCCCTCATTTTCTGGCGCATCCAGCTTGTTGCCATTTGTCCAAAAGAAGCCACTCCAGCATTCTGGGTGAACCATTTACAGTAAAAACTAGGTGATCTTGATGGATCACTGCAGAACTATCACAGTCAGGATCAAATTTGATCAAGATATCAAAAATGCTGGGAAAATTCTAGATCTGTATGATGTACGTGCGGTGGCTTAACCTCATTGTTGGCGGGTTCACCATTTGCACATTGGATGCCCCCTGGAGTTGGTACATGGCATACATTGTTGACAGGCTATTCTAAGATAGCCAGTTGGGAGACCTATAACCTGTTGCCAAGCATTTGCAAGCTTCGCGGGTGGTCCCTGCACAATTCCTTTCTCAATGATAAATCATACCCAATTTTACAAATTGAGGAGATGTTCATAGAGTTCAGAAATTGGCGTTTAATCTTGGGACTGCCACATCATTTGGCCAGAACCAAAAAAAATATTGGCAATGTTTGAGCATCGAAGGGTGTTTAAGAAGTTCCCAGTGCATTCCCTGCAGTTGGATGGTCGATGGAAATTTAGTCTGCACATGGTCAATAGCCTGGTTTTATCCCAATGTATTCCATAGCGGTTGCATCCCACAAAAGACTTACCATGTGAATCCATGGGGTCATTGTTCGTTGACCCAGTGATCACATCCCTCCATTTCACCCTCAGCCACTGACCATTTCATGTCAACAAGCAGTTAAGATATTTATTGCAGACATTGACACCTGGGTCACCCGCAGTCAGAAACTTCATTGGCCCCTAGGCGTGGAAAGCGCTCGCAGCAACCTCCTCGGTGCTTTGCGCCTGCGAGGCAGTGCAGCGGATGCGGACGAGGACGCGCAGCTCCGCTTGGGCCAGGCAACTGAACAGGGACGGGCACCGTGGGGCACTGAGGGCCTGCTTGGCTGATGGGATGATCCTTGGAAACTAATCTTTGATGAATGATTCACTTGTGGTTTGTAACTCTGTGTTCTCACTTCGCGACAATTTATTGTAAGAACTGTGATATTGTTAAGTGGGATGATGAAGCCCAGTCACTAGCCATGCCAATAGTAATTCCCCTTATCTTCCAGGCGGAAGGTCGGGGCAGAGGAGCAACTGGACTGAGCATGTGCCGCATGGAAATTTATATATTATGTGCTCAACGGAAAATGTGCATGTAACCAGCAACACTGGGGTGCCCTCCTGAAAACCAAAATGTTGAACCCCAAAAGTAGGAGGGGCTGGTAGATGAGGCTCCCGCCTGGGAGGTTGCCACTTTTGGGGCTTGTGTCAGCAAAGTTTAGAAAATGAATTGTCGCAACTCCCATTTGCACGGAAAAAGAAGGTAAAAGAAGCAAGGAAGAAAATGCTGCTGGATTATCCCATTCAGGGGCACCCTATTGACCCACACCCACATTGGTAGTGTACCCCTAAAAATGTGTTTTCCGGTTTGGCAATCCTTTTGATGATCAAGAACAGAGCTTCTTAAAGCATCACCTTTGCGCGAAGGACATGCTGTGGATGGACGAAATCCTGCACCACCTTGGATGGCTGAAACCTTATAAATAGTGGGATAAACCACCTATCAACTGGTGCAGGATTTCTCACATCCACCGCATTGCCCCGACTGTTTAGGGAACAATTGGTAGTAGTTAGCGGCTCCGGAGAATACGTGTCAGGAGTCAGGTTTGTTTTTTCATGCCTTTTCTCACTCATCAACATCCCGCATCACAATTTTCGTTGGAGGAGGCTGTGCGCAACATATTATATAGAACCATATTGAGCTCTTCTTACCTTGATAAATTAGACGAATATTCCATGTAGTTTGGACTTTGGACATGTTTGGGTCATGTTTCGACACCTAATTCAATGGCTCCCAACTACCACAACCAGTTTTCCATGTTTAAATGCTGTTCTCACTGGTCGTGGGGGCATCAAGTCTTACAAGTACTGCATTACTTTCCATCAAGAAATGGTATGAACCTAATCAACTGATGTCTGATATCCTGGAGCGGCCGTAATTTTACAATGCTTCCATGACGCCCTGCAGTGACCAGGTGCTGAACCATCGCGGTTTCTACGATGAGGCCTACGAAATGCTCATGGTGCTGTGGAAGCATTTGCAGTCGCAACTGGGAGATGAGCATCCGAAGACCTTGAAGGCGCTGCCTTGTATTCCTCTCCAGTTTTCCCGCCATACTGTAAGAATATTGTTGTGGTACCCGCCCAGCTGCGTTAATTTATCGTGCATGCTGGTTTGACACCCTGTATTGTGCAGGTTAAGTTTAGATATAGTATGATATAGTTTAGATTGGCGGGTGGCCCCACAAACCATCGTGAACAACATTTTCTGGTGGATTCAACCTGTTTCGACTTAAGTCCCGTTTTCAGCATCATTCGGGAACATGATGCCAAGTCGGCGACGGCGGCATGTGATGAATGAACAGGCTTCATCTTGACAGATGTCTTGATCACCCCCAACTGAAATGGCCCCGGGAGCTAGTAACAGGCAAGCGTGGGCTATAGCATGTTATAGCCATAGCCACTAATTATGTTCCAGCAAAGAAGTTGAACGTGTTTAAAGACTTTAAAGATTTTAAAAGATCACCCTACTCAGAATATCTCGGAACTGGCAGGCAATGTACGAGGTGGCCGAAGTGGAGTTGAACTTGGGAAAGTTCACCAAGGCCAAGGACTTGCACAGTCGCTGGGCATATCGAACTTGGCTGACTGAAAATGGTTTCACCATAGTTCACCGCTGTTTATCTATTGAATCTATTGTATGTTTAGTTGTTTATCTAAAGCAATGTAGTCTAAGGATGTCTAAGGCAATGATAGGTAATGTGTGTATTTACCTTCGTACCTGCGTGTGGTGTACATGTATTGGGGACCAATGAATTCTCAAGGCCAATGCTTGGAGCTTCGCCAGCGCACCCTGGGAGAAGAACATCCCAGCACCTTCAACTCCCTGAACGGCTTGGCAGAAGCCAACTTTAAGATGGGGCAACATAGCAGCTGGTTATTGGAATGGGATGTGAGGAACATGGGCAGCACAGAGGTAGTGGCAATGGGAATCCCTGATTCTTAGTGGGAAAAGCATGGTTTTGTTTCACAGATTGATCTGGAATGGGGTGTTTGTTCACACGTATGCAATTGTAGTTACATGATGGGGATTAGTTCGGCATTTGTATGGGCATGTATGAGCCAAGCTTGTGGCACCAATGATCAATGCTCTGATTTATCGTACCAAATCTGAATCTCGTCATTAATTCGGACATCCCTTTGGATGTCTGGATTTACTTACGGCTAGAAAACCAACAGTGGCACATCCTCTTCCAGGAGGTCGGCTTCCACTTGCTTGACGTGGGTCAAAGTTTGAGAATGATTTAAGGCCAAAGTGTTTTCGTTGCTACCCTGTATTGAGCGTCTCGCAACATGCAACAACTGTGTGGCTGTTCTTTGAATCTGCTAGCGTTGTAGATTCTAAACGGTGTGTTGCAAGCAGGAAACCCAACCGTTTGCAACCCTTTGAGGGATTATACAAATATCTAGCAAAAAAAATCCAGAGCCACACCCATCAAAGTACAAATCGGTTCAACATGTTTGGCACTCACATCAGGGCTCAAAATATACAGACATCCTATATGTTGCTATAAAGCCCATGGCCTCTTTTAGGAGGAAAGAGAACAATCCTCAGCTGAATCGATTGGGCGCGTTGCAGATTGTTTTCCTCCCAGGCGTGGCAGAGACGCTGCTGCAGAAGTGCTTGGCCGCCAGAGAGGAGTTTTTTGGCCCGGACCATCCTGACACCATGAGGCTCATTTGAGCAGAGGGATGAGTTGAAAACCAAGGGATTTTCTGTACATGTTCTTTGCTGGAGGATTTAGTGGATTGACTTTGGGTTGACTATGATGCCTATTGTTGTTGAAAGCTTCGTTGGGTTAAAGAAAAACTATTTTTATATATATATATATTGATTTGCCATCCATCAGCTCTCGAAACCTCAGAGGTTCCTGCAATCTCTCTCCTTGTCCAAATGTGAGGTCTTTTGCTGTTGCTTTGTTCAGTAGGAGTCGGAGTTAGACATGTGACCCAAGGGCTGGGGCAAGGCCTGCAGAGAAATCCATTTGTATATCTGGAATGGGATCACCAGGTCCAACTTCCGAAGCACTTTGAATTTCTTCCTTTTCACTTGGTGTCACATGGAACCTTCCTGGTGTTGAAAACTATGAAAACTGACAGTTTTTTTTTGTCGGCAGTCCTTTTATGCAGCAAACATACCTAAGAAGTGAGATCGGAAGGAATCACAGACAATTAATTTGGCTCAAGTTGGCATTGGTGTTGCTCAAGTTTGGAACTCGGTTTCATGGATTGTAAGTGCTGCAAGCAAAACTAGATCCGTGGGTTCCTTTGTAGTTTCCTGTGTGTGTGTCCCAGCAACTCATTGGTTTTCCCTGGACTTCCCTACCATGAAGGACGGTAGCCCATCACCGATCACCCATGTATAGGCTCCAAATGGAGCATGGCCTTTGTTTCACAGTGGCTTGAGTTGCCCACTACCTGTATAGGCTTGTTGGTCGCAAGGTATCACCGTGGTCTAGTCATCATATACCAAGACAAACTTTTTGGGACTAATTTGTTTCTGACTGAAGATTTCAAGTGATTTCCTGGTGTTCGCACTGTTGCTCCGGAGTATGGCCAGCGGCTTGTACATGAATCCGTACGCATCCCAAATCATATCATCCATCCACCAGGTAGGATGTGCATTTGCGATGGGTAAAATCAACCACCCAGATGAGAGACACCTCCCAAATCTATCCATGCCTTCCTCAAATTAGCCGTCAGCAACCTTGAGAATTAACATGCAAAATGGATTGAGCATGTATTTCTATAATAGCATTTTCCTGCATAGTCGCGGCAAGTTGTCATTATTTGTCGCACAGTTCTATGGCGGTTTTCACTGGAAATTAACGGCACTTTTGGATCACATTGGGCAGGTCCCAGAACGATCTGGCGGCTGTGCTGGCTGCCATGGGCAGATACGTCGCAGCGGACGAGCTCTACCAGCAGTGCTACGAAGCCCGGAAGCGAACCCACGGCCCGCGGCATCCGGTGCCCCGTCTTCCTCACGGGTGCCGGGAGGAAGGGTGGACCACCGAAGAATTCGTAGAACCATGGTAAATGTACATTTCTGCACAAGTGGTTATGGTCGACCAAGAAACCGATAGAGTTGGCAAAGATTGAACAAGCCAAACATTTTAAGAAATTATATTTAGATTAAAAAACGGGCGGCTTACACTTCAAGGCAAATGAATATCTTAAGAATCTTTGGCCCCCCCGAAGTAGGCGATTTTGCACACACGCACAAAGGCATACAAAACCCATATAATATCATATAATATATGTATATATTTATATTATAATTGTGTACACATGCTCATGTCATCTCATGTCGTCATGCAAAAAGTTTAGAGATGTTCAGAGCACCTCGTTGTGTACTGGTTTATGCTGGCTTTGGTGTTTGGGGTTGGAGGGGTACTGCACGAGGAGGTGCCATGGGACCTGCCAACTTCTCATCAACAAATATCAGTCCAAGCTTTAATTCAAGCTCAAAGAAGGATCCAGGGACATATAAGGGCCCCAGACAAAATGCAAACCCCAGCGGTTTTTGGGATGAACACATAACTCACATAACCCTCTCAAAATGTACAGAGGCTGCATAACATTCATCATCATTCAACTTGAAATTGTGGACACAGGCTACCTGGGAAAGCTGTTCATGTGAGCTGATTGCGCGCATTGAAAGGCCACCCCAAACACCCAGTGTACCAAATGAGCGTCGCACGAGACTCAGGGTAAACTCCCAGCACGTCAACTCCCAGTGTAGTCCTTCTAATTACCCACCTTGCATAGTCCATTGTATTAGTATCTATTGGTCGGAAAGGTGCGTGACGATAGTTGGCCCAAGTATACCCAAATCACGTTTCAATGCTTCAAAATACAGCTGCAAAAAGCTGCGAACCTCAGGAGACTTTGACCACCTTGAACAACATGGCAGCGTTGCTGAAAATAACCGGCAAGGCCAGCGGGGCTCATTCCATAACAACCCAGGTCTTCATGGAACGGACCACCACCTTGCACTCTCACCATCCCAAGCGATTGACATCCATGAACAACCTGGCAGCTGTGCTTGAGGATCTGGGAACCTTGGTTCATCTTAGATATCTTCGTTCTGTTTTAGTCAACTCCTTTTGAGCTGCTGATCGCTTCTCTATGTCATCCGTCGTCCTAGCTAATCTTCAGCCGGAGAAAAATGAAAAAAGCAAGAAAGAAATAAAGATGGATAGATAGACAGATAGATATGATAGATGGATGGATAGGATTGGGATTGGGATTAGGATTCAAAAAAGGATTAGAACATATAGATGGATAGATAAGAGAAGATAAGATAAGTAGATAGATAGATGGATGGATGGATGGATCGATCGATCGATCGATTAGATTCTTCTCTATGGAGAGGGACATTCCTCATAGGGACACTCCTGGAACATTCTTTTTTATTAGTTTTAACTCGAAATATTTCAATTTCATTCCAAATAATGCAATTTCATTCCAAATAATTCTTTTTCATTCCAAAAAACACGTTTTCGTTCATGTTTTTAAAGGTTTTTTTGAAATGATGATTTCAAGATTTGTTGTTGTTTTTTGGAAATTTCGATTTGTTTTTGTTTTTAAAATTTTATTTTTGTTTTCTTTGTTTTTTATTGTTTGTTATATGTATTTTTTGTGTTTGTCTGATTTGTTTTTTTGATTTGTTTGTTTTTTTGTTTTGTGTGCTTTTTTTCAAAAAAAAAAGTATTTTTTGTTGATTGTTTGGATTTTATTTGATTTTGTGTTGCATTTTTCTGATGTTTTTGATTTTTTGTTTTTTTTAATTTTGTTTTTTATTTTTTCGAATGTTTCGTTCATTTTTTTCGTTGTTTTTTGAATAAGTTAAATTGTGTTTGTTTTTTTTGTGGAATTTGTTCCGTTTTCCTTTTTTTCGTTTCTTTTTTTTGGGAGGGGGGAATGCGTTTTGGAATGCGTGGATTGTTTTTTTCCAGATGTTTTTTGATATTTTTTGAACTTTTGAGAATTTTTCAGAAGTTTTCAGATTTTTTTTGCAAGGATAGCAACTTTTAGGAGTAGCCCTTTGAGGAGTATCCCAGGGCCCTTTAATGATAGATAGATTAGATAGATAGATTAGATAGCTAGATTAGATAGATCAGATTAGATTAGATTAGATTTAGATTGGATTAGATTATATTAGATAGATAGATATAGTTATAATACATTATAATATGATACAAAATGATGTAATATGGCATAATATGATATATATATAATATGATATAATATGATATAATATGATATAATATGATGTAATATGATGTAATCTGATATATGATGCAATATGATATATGATTTAGTATGATATAATATGATATAATATGATATGATATGATGCGATCCTTCCTTTTTTTCACGCAAAAAAGATGGATGGCTCAAACTGATTGACTTTCTGGTGGCGTTTCTTTGTTTCCTGAAGTTTGAGCCAAGGAGTTGTTCTTCCTTGTTGTTTTGAGCCCCAAGCATTTCCATTCTTCCCAGGCGAATCCCCAGGCTTTGCTGGTAAACTCTATAATAGGTATATATATGTTTTTTTCCTCCTCATTGCTGAGATACATTTTATGTTTGCACTACCCTATATAAGTTTTGTCTAGCATATTAAACCCACATGTTGTTGCCTGGTGTATCCCCATTGGTGAAGTGCACTTTTCAACCGAACTGATTGAATTCATTCGTTTAATCACCAGGAAAGTACGAGGAAGCGGAGGAGCTCTATCGCAAATGCTTGGAAGGGCGCACAGAATTGCTTGGTCCGGAACATCCGCACACATTGAGACTTGTTGATTAGTCCCAACCAGAGGCGACGTAAATCCATCAAAATGAAGATTCAACCCATTTGGTGCTGAGAGTCCAAAAAGTCAACCATTTTCTCAATGAGGAAAATTCCAGGTCTTGCCTAATGTTTGAAGAATCCGGAGATGTATCTTTTTTGGAAATTGCTCCACCCCCAAGACGATGATTCAAACAACCAAGGATTTCAATGCACAATCTGGCGAGTTTGTTGGTGAAAAGGGATCAACATGATGAGGCTCAGGAGCTTTATCAGAGATGCCTGGAGCTAGAGAGAGAGACCCAGGGAGCTGAGCATCCTGATACCTTGACGTGCATGAATCTGGGCAGCTCTGAGTTGATCATGCTGTTTCCCTTTTTGAAGATGTGTGCGGCAATGATTTGTTTAAAGCCTCCACGATGTGAGAAGCTTGCTAGTTTCTGCCATTTTGGTTGGGGATTGTACTCATGGTTTAAGGTTCGTGGGGACATTAGGTTGTTGCAGGGATCCTTGGTGATCCTTAGCAGTTCCCCTAGACCAAGCAGTGCCAAGGACCAGCCTGGCCGCCCTGTGGTGGAAGCTGGGGAGGCACCATGAGGCCGCGGAGCTCCATCGAAGCTGCTTGAAGGCCAGGGTGGCAGTGAGCCCGGAACATCCCAGCAACTCTGTCAGAATGGGTCGATTGGGGAGTGAAAAAGAGAGACTTTGGAGAACTCAGTGCTTAATGGTAAGGCAGCCAATAACTGGCTGGGGATTCAACTTATGTGTATGTATATATATACATAAATATTTATATGTTTATACATACATACATGCATGCATGCATGCTATCATGCTATCATGCTATCATGCTATATATGTATGTAATGGAATGGAATGGAATGGAACGGAACGGAACGGAATGGAATAGAATGATGGATGTATGTATGTAATGTCATGTCATGTCATGTCATGTCATGTCATGTCATGTAATGTAATGTAATGTAATGTTATGTATGTATGTAAATATATTTATTTGTATGTGTGTGTGCGTGTATATTTAGCATTCTTAGATATAAATATATATATATATATATTATTGTTATTGATTTGCATGTGTAACACACAGGCACCATTGTATAACCTGCAAAAAGTGGCTAAAGTGGTCGCACCAAAATGGACGAACTACCTATTCAAATCTTGCAGGAGGACACCTGAATTTAAACATGTACGTTGCTCGAATCACAGGTGGCTGGCTGGGAAGTCCCCAGACGTAATTGGAACATCACTCCAAGCGGGGGCACAGATCTTGGTGACGTCAATCACAAATGCTAAGATCAAGGTCTTGGTTGAAGAAAACTTTGACCAGCATCCATGGGTTTCTCATGTATTAGTTGACGTTTCCTGTTCTGAAGCCTGTATATAGATTTGCCCTGAAACCATGCATGTGGACGGTAAAACTAGCATGCCAAGAATCTGCAATCCTGCATGCTTTTCCATGTGTGGACTCTTCCAAAAGTGCTTAGATTTCAGAAACCCCAAAGGGCGCCATTTGGGAAAGGTCTTCATTCTTGGAGGGCACACATCTACTTGGTGACAACCACCTCTGAAAACTTGCATTTATTTTGAGAGCCTTTGCTTCTTAAGGGCAGCAATTTTGCGACTGCGTGTGTTTGTTCCAAAAGGCTTCCACATGGGGAACCTGTTTGTTTGAAACGCATCCAAGTTTGGATGATATTGACAGGTTTCTTCTTCATGATTCATGAACATCAAAAAGAAAGAATCCCATTTCATGCGTTGGCGCCCCTTCAATTTGAGCACTGGCGCAGCACCCCTACCCCTGGAAATCCAAGGAGTTGAAAACCATTGTCTAAAACCCTGCTTGTTGCAGGGTTTCCATTCAAACGAGCAAGTGAGTCTGGGGTCCAAGAACGACATCACTGTAAGACTGGGGGTTCAAGAAGGACATCACTGGAAGACTATGCGTGATGGCTCCTATTCGGAACGTCAGGAAAAATTGCTTCAAATCAGGCCTGACTTATGATGACACAGTTATCATCAAGAGCTAGCGAGCCCGCGGATTTCCGCACCATCTCAGGGTCACCAACTCGCATCATGCCTCCCCCTAAGAACCCTATACTTTTTAACTACCTTAAGTATAATTACGGTAGTTGGAACCCCAGTTCCACCAGGATCTAAACTCACATACTCCGACTCCCAGGCACCTTAGATTCTATGCACCACTTGGCACTCTCTTTGATCAAACTGGACCAGCGCCCGGAAGCGGAAGAGTTGCTGCGAAGCTGTGTGGAAAAGCAAGAAAGAGCTTTGGGAGCTGAGCATCCTGATACTGGTCAGACTGGTTGACTGGTTTTCAGTGTTGTTTTCTTTTTTTCATCTCAAGAATGGCAATTGGTGGCTTGGAAATCTTTTCGCCTTCCATTCCTAAAATGCGTGGAAAAATGGGATGATGACCCCCAAGATCCCCAAGTTACGAACACACTCTCTCACAGCAGCAGTACGAGGAGAGGTTGGTCTCCATGACCTATTTGGCAGCATTGCTGCGCAAGAAAAAGGAGAACTATCAGGCTGGTTCTTCAATTTATGGTTCAAATAGTGGATGCATGGTGGTTGGGATTTGGTATGTGAGAGGCGCTGCATAGCAGGAAGGGTGAATTGATGTTTCGGTGCGGCTGCAGCAAGGGGAGGTGTGTGGTATGGAGCAGCTTGCTTGTTACACGATTACTGTAGCGCAGCCAAGTCAGCAGTAGTTGGATGTAATTGGAGTATTCACCGGAGGTGGCCAAAACTGTGAATATGTATTTGTACATACATACATACATACATACATACATACATACATACATACATACATAGATACATAGATACATAGATATATATATATATATGCGTGTGTGTGTGTGCGCGTGTACATATACATATATATATATATATCTGTGTGTGTGTATTTACTTAGATATACTTGTACTGATCGTACTGGTAACATAGGGGAGGGATGTCCTGATCTTGGCGACAAACTGTGGAATATCATCAATGAGACTGGGTCAATGGTTTCAATGTTCTGAGCTCCACAAAAACAGGGATCATGGATCAAAATAGCTTGCCCCAATAACTTGCAAGGTTCACATGATAACGATTGATATCGATTGATGACCAATCTTTTTTGTGTGTGTTTTTTCTTTCTGTGGGTGCTCCCCACTAGTGAGAGGCTGAATTGATTTTGATCGTCCATTTGGGATGACGATTCTAATCGACTTCCCATTTTGTTTATCCTTGTTTGATTTTTTGGGTGGCTGAACTACCAACCGGCAGGAGGCAGAGGCTTTGTATCTCCAATGTTTAGACATCAGGGCACGGGCAGTGGAAGATGAAGATGTCAACGCGGACGTGATGACCTTGACACTCAAGAGCAATCTCGCAGACTTGTCTCTGAAGATGGGACTTTTCACATTTGCACAAGAGCAAGGGGTATGGGTCAAAGCATCTCATAGTCACAGCTGGCTGGTGATACATGTAATATACAGATGTATTGAACTAATCTGAATTAGGTTTCAGACCCATCTGGGATGATTACCCGCCCCGTTCTTCAAGGGTGCAAATGCCACCAGCCAGCTTGCAAACTAGATGCACCGTGAGAGCCCTGAATGTTGACCCATACTCACTTTTTCTTTGATCGTTTGGGTGTGGTTCGTTTCACTTTGTAAACCCTGTGTGTGAACGCAGGGGTAAATGCCTGTTGAAAATCATTCAACATACGTACTGATTGCTGATATTTGCTGGCCATCAACGAAGTTTCATCAGATCATTGGTAAAACAGCATAGGCAAGCTGGACGCGGCTGAAGCCTTGCGCCGGCAGTGCCTTTGCGCAAAGTTTGCCACGGTGGGACAAGGGCACCCAGACACTGCCAGTGCCTTCGAGAGTTTAACGAAGGTCCTGCGAAAAATGGGGAAGGACGGGAGCAATGCTTGGGGTTGGGTCAAAGCCGATGATTTCCATATGGGCGGGTTGAGTGACTGATATATCTAGAATGCCTACAAAGCGCACTAGCAAGCTTGTTGAGGGGTCTATGCTGGTATGCTTTCAATTGTTCACGTAAGGTGGAACAAGAGAACCATGTGGCTGCCATAATCACGTGAAGGAGACTACTCTGGAGGATGAGTTCGAGCTGTGGTCTGGGATTGTCCCAGAGGAAGTCAAACCTTAGTGTCTTGGTCATCCTGCACTGTTTGAAAGGGCAAACCCAATACCTGCCCCTTGGGGCTGCTGGGTTTAGGATAGGCATACTGATGGTACACTGTATACATGCGGTATGTGGGATGTAAGATGTACAAAGCAAATGGATTTCCCACACTCCTCAACACCCTCAAATCAGGGCCAGTGAATTTTATCCACATACGTCCGGCAGTTTCTACAACACTAATGGGCAGGCCACTCCCACCAAGGCACCAGCGCTTGGCCTGGTTGAACTGTGCGATTGTGAGCCCTGGTTCTGATGGGTTTCTGCCCGGACGAGTCCCTGAAGTCGCTCACCGATTTTTTTGGGTGGGCTTTTAAGGGTGTTTTTTCTGACGCATTTAGGTGTGTGAGGAAGGAAGGAAGCAAGGAGGTAAAGAAGGAAGGCATCTTTCAGTTGAGAGCTCCATGAAGCCTCGCGCCAGCAAAAACTACCCACTTCTTATATGTTGTTATTATATGTTATTATATACTGTACCCGAGAGAAATGGGAACACAAAAAGCAGAAATGTGGATTCCATCATGGTTTGGCTGGGTGACTCCAAATAATTTTCACTTGAATTTGTGCCCAGGACTGAGGCCCCCAATGATATCCAATGACTGAAACAGCATCATTCGAAGGGGAAACTTCCAATTGTTTAAGTTATACATAAGACCCGAGCATTGTGGAGCTGAGGGGTTCCTAGAAAAAGGATGAACAAGGGTGGTATCACACCAGTATCCCAGGGAGTTACATTCAAAATCCCTGGCTTCCGCACCTCACCTCTTCAATCGAGGGGTTTGAAGACCCTTGAAGACCCCTTGCCTACTGTAGTCGCCTCTTCAAACAGCAATGCACCCGTCTCCAAGGTGATAAATGGTGACATGTCCGTGAATCCGATGATTTGGCCCCATCGGCGCCGGTCACAGCGAACGATGGCAAGTTGATTTGCTTGCCATAGTGGAGCATCATGGAGCACCTGCCCTTGGACTCCCAGAAGCTGGAAAAAAAAAAAACAGGACGGATGCGGAGATTTGCAGTTTGAAATTTGATGATCTTGGGAGGTGTCAGACCTGGTCGGATCTGAAATTGTAGATGCTGAATGAGGAGAAAAACACACAATTTGCCATTCCTAGGGTCAACTTATCAGTCCAGAATAGCCCAGGACCATCACAATAATTAGCTTTCTGTGGCCGCCATGCAAATATGTTGGCTGGAGGCTCGCACATGGCTTGAAAATCATCCGATTGTTTTAGGGCCTTGCCTCACGGAAGCCTGCTGTGATTGTATTTTTTATAGCCTTGGTACCCAATCTTTAGTAGCCACCAGATTTTATAATATTTTATATACCCGACAGACAGGCAACTGCACATTCAGACCAAACTATTTGACCAAATTTCATAACATTTAATCACATATATTCATATATTATTATAATATCCCCTTTGGAATAACCACTCTAAAATGGGGTACCCCGGGGTCCCACTAAACCATTTTTTTTAGACAGAATTTAGCTAGTTTTTTTTCTAGGGGGTTGGTACTTTCATTTTATAGTGACCCCAGGGGGGCAGGAAAATTTTGATTTTATAATATTAAATTCCATTTTATAGTGATGCCCTTTTTGGCATGACACTCATGTATGGGGGTTGGGTGTTCCCATTCTATAGAGTCAGGAGGTTTCAGGAAGTCATTCTTTTTGGGGGTTGGTAGCCTCCATTTTATAGTGACCATGGGTTGTAGTTGCATTGCTCAGTCTTCGCGTGCCGTTTCCTGCTATAGCATGGATGGCAATGGGAACCTGGGGGAGTGTTCCCAAACCAGAGAAACGTAAGAATGGAAGAGAATGGAATAGAGAGGACAGACAAAGCCAGCTTTCTCCATCCTACTCCAAAATACCCAGCTGGCCCAAAATACCCAGCTTTGTCGATACCCCTAAATACCCAGCTTGGAAAAAATCCTTTGGCTTTGGGACATGGGACAGCATGGGACCACTATAAAATGGAAAACTTTCCACAAAAATACCAAGCTTGGAATCTTTTTGTCGACATCCCTTGGTTTTTGGGACATGGGACAGCATGGGACCAATGGAAAACTACCAGAAAATAAGTTTTGGTCTTTGTGTCAGCATCCCTTGGCTTTGGGACGTCCCGGGCTAAAGAAAAATGTGGTGTCTTTGGGGCGATGATGGTGGGAGTATGTGGGAAGGCTGCGGCACTATGAAATGGAAACCCCCAACCCCCAGAAAATCCTACCAGGAAGGGCATGTAATCTCTATAAAATCAGAGCACCCAACCCCTCAAGAAACCATTCATTTTTGGATATTGTAAAATTGAAGCTATATACAGGGGGTTGGGGGTTCCCATTCTATAGTAAAAAGTTGGCTATTTTCTTCATTTTAAGGCTAGGCTCCAGGGTACGTTGGGGCCTCCCATTTTATAGTGATGGAGGGTTTTGCAGTAAATTTGTAGCTGTAAATATTTGCTTTTTCAAATGAATTTCCTATTTTATAGAGGTGCACCTGTTTTGTGACCCTGGGTGTTTCCATTTTATAGAGGTCCCACTTTGGGGGGGGGGTGCCCCCGTTTTAGTACTATAAAATGGGGGCACCCAACCCCTCCACTTAATCTAGAAGGGGATATTATAATTTATTATATAATTATATAAATTAATATAAAATTTATATATATTCTATAATTTAATACGATATATAAATAAAAATAAATATATTAATAATATAATTAATTTAATTATTTCTAATATATATATATCAATAAAAATATATATAATGATAATAAATAATAATTAATAAATATATAATATAAAATATAATAAATATAATATATTAATATATTTTTTTCCGATTTTTTTTAATAAAATCGAAAAAAATAAATTTATTATTAATAATTTATATATAATTATTTTTCTAATTATACAAAACCTCTTAATTAGGATATTATTTAATACGGTATCTAAAAAATAACATTATGGATTTTAAAATATTTATATTATAAAAAAATTGAGGTGTTAAATTATTTTATATTATATTATATTATTTTATAAAATTATCGAATTTATTTTTTGATATTTTTTTGTAAGCTTAAGATATAATTTAAATTTTAGGTAAT